AGTGTCATGTAGACATTAAATAGTACAATTCTTTCCACATTCATAAATCCTAAGTGCCTACGGTTTTATACTGCAGGTTATAAATTATATAACTGAGTTCTACAGACAAAAACAAAAAAAAAAAAAAAAAACCCAAACAAAACAAAAATAAAAAATTAAATTAACAGAAAAACTGAAAGTGAGAAATCATGTCCTTTAGAACATATACATTTCAAAGGAAGTATCCTACATTTCAGATTACTTCACTTACTTCCTATTTTAAGTATTTTGATTGATAAAGCCATAAAACAGAACTCTTTGATGATAAACTAGCAAAACACTAATCAGTCTTCAGAAAAACAGTGAAAACTTCTCACATTAATTTACAAACACATATGATAAGGAGTCAATAATCCCAAACAGTTAACAAAATGTTCAGGAGCAAAAAAAAAAAAGTATTTTACCAATTGTTCCAATCTACTTGGAACTTCATAACTAAGATAAGGTACCTATTTGCACATTAACATTTTCCTGCACCTGAGGTATGAAAAAAAGGAGTATCAAACAAGTATACTTAATCAAAACACATTTAATGCTGTTTTTCTGCATATAACCCAATCTATGGTCCAAACCTCTATTTACATGTCATGTACATATGCACACAATTAAAGTCCCCATTAATAATGTTCAGCACCTGTAATAGTTAAGATTATTTGTTCACAACCTTTTGGACTACAGAATGAGGCTCAAACTTTCTTGATTTCACTCACCATGTTGTTGAGCTTATCCAACGCTAACTAAAGCAAAACCAAGGGCTATCAGGGTATTCAAGAGTTCCTAAAACTTACTATAAAAGATAATTGAATGGAACATTCAGAAGCAAAGCCCAGAATAGGCTAGCCTGTGGGAAGTGGCTAATTATTTCTTGCTGGCTCCCCTGACATGCAATTTCATTCTGCAGCACAGTGCCTTTGCTTGAATTAGTCCACTTGAGTTGCTCAGGAGGCGAATTAATAGAATATCTGCTGGTGCAAGCCCTTTTGGCTTTGCTTGAACAAAATTGGCTCCTACAGTTGAGCAAAGGCTCAGACCCTCCTTGTCCACCTCCTGTGAGCAGAGGTGACAGCAGCAGCGGCTGTGCCGCCATCTACCGTAGGTTTTGCATAGCACTGCTTGGTCCCAATCCCGCGGGAATCCCTGCAGCAATGCTTCCCACTCATCTCCAGGCTCAGCGGCACAAACTCCACTCCATAAACACATACCTAAGTGAGGGCCTGATCCTGCAATCTTTGCTCAGGCAGAACTCACTCCACAAACCGCAGRTTAGCTGCTGCTAATGAAGCATTGTGGGCTTTGTTATTGCCCTTCAACTAATAAGGTCTGTCCTGCAAATTTGATGTTTKTGTGCTTTGCAGTACTCTTAAAGGTTTCCTCAGAAGTCAATAGAAAATTGTAAAGCACTCAGACATATACACTCATTTGCTTGAACCTGCTTAGCATGCATTGTATAGCTTTACTGAATGCCGTCCATTAATCCCAAAGAGTTTCACAATCTTTAAGAGAGCTGTCCACGTGAGAATAAAGTTAGAATTTGCACACATGCAGTTCCCTCTCAATTTTAATATAAGGCTTAAACTTCTCTTGGTGATCCCAGAGCTCAAGCTATAGTGAAACCTTTCGTAATTGCTCTTTGTGGGATCTTTGGATTTATTTTCCCCCCAGCTAATATATGAGGCTCCTGAAAACACTACAGCTCTCTTACACCGTGTTTGTAAAGGGCTCTGTCAAAAACAGAGGTAAGGGATTTCACAGCTGTGGTGCTGCAGGACAAGGTAGTTGTTGTATTTTGAGGACCAAGTTCCAGATGTAAGGCACAATAAAATGAAGTGTCCTACATCTATCTAGTGACAGACCCTCCAGCTACGCCAAGTGCTGCAAGGTCCCCCAGTCTTCTGACAGAACAGTCGGGAACCACCTGGTAYGCTACAGGTAGAGAAAGGATGATGGAATAGTTCCAAGCAATCAAGCTGGAATACAGCTGCCAGAGTAAACTTTAATGTAGTGCACTCTACACAATATTTATAGAGAAAATGTATGGATGCTGCTTGAGCCGATTAAAGGCTGGAGACTATATTCTGTTTTCTGAATGTTTATTCTGACTTTCTCCAACTGTGCTTCTTACTTGACAGTGCTTAACTGGCAGTGAGCCATGAAAGCTGTTGTCTAATTACACAACATATCACGATCTTACAGACCTACTGATAAGGCTTTACTGCAGCATAAATAGATTTTAAACATTAGCATATGAGAAAACTGCCTCCAAATTAGAATATTTCAGTCTTGTATGTCAATAGACACTTTTATTTGTTTAGGGAAACAGAGAGAGAAATTAATTTTAGGGATTAAATAGAGTGTAATGTTAAACAGGCTAAAATTTAATGGCATGTCTGGCTAACTCTGTGCATGGCAGAAATCTAATCACATCTAATTACTTATTTCAGACCATATGAAAGACACCATATATCTGCATGGAATCAGTCCAGCTGGGGATTACAGCAGTACTGCGATACCACTACTACACGTGAAGCTGTGGAAAACATAGATTTAGTAAATCCACTTGCAACATTCTGTTACACAAACAGCCTGAATAAAGGAGCAATAAATATATTATTAAGAGGTCTCAGACCATGCTTTCACAGAAAACACAATTTCACACTGCGTATTGCAATGACTATTAATCAGCAACATGCAAATATGACTTTGTCAAATGGATCATAATTATTTTATACTGAAGGATGTACAGTAGGTCTGACTTTGTGATGTAAATGCAGCAGGGAAGCCACAAGTTTTAAGTTGATGGCAGTCCTTTCTTCACTGCACATATCTTCAGTGATAGGATACAATTATGTGTAATAAAGGCATTGTTTTGCYTTTGTACGAAACAAATAACATTGTCCTCTCTTTCAGCAGATACTCTGAGAGGTGACAGCAACCATSACATCACTGAGAAGGCCAATTCTCTTTCTGACTGGAAAACCAGGACACACCGTGCACACCCCCTGCCATGGCTACAGGGGGTTGTTCTTGCCCATGGGACAAAAGGTAGGAAGATGCAAATGTGCATTTCAGTACTCTGCCTCTTCTTGGCCAGATTTTGCAAAAGTTCAAGCATGAGGACAAGTTTACTCAATGAGCAGTTCTGCTGGCTAAGGGGGACTGCTCAGACATRTAGATACTTCCCGGAGTATGCGGCTGTCAGAGCAGGCACCTTACAGCCCTTTTTGCAGCAGGGTGCTGCATAGAATGGTTTGGGATTCTCAGAGAAGCACACAAAGCTTTCAGAATCCCATTTTAGGGGGCTCTGTTCTCCAAAGACAARGGTAATCTAAGAAATACAGCTCTAGGACCTCATTACACACAAATTCATCAAAGTTAAGCCTCCCTCACAGCTCTGTTTTTTAAGAATTTGCCTTTCTATGACTACAGAAAGGGAGGTGGTAAGATTCAGCTGCTTTGACATCTAAAACATTTACAAACATTAGAATGCATGATAAAGCATGAAGTTCYAAAGTGGAGGAAGTGAAGAAGTGACATATGATACTCCAGCCCTTTTCTGCCTGTGTATGTAAGCTCACATTATGGGTATTTACTAGAAATACAGCTGAATTAAGAGCAGTGTCTGTCATACAGCATGGCAACCTGCTGAAGTACTCCACATTTTACCCATTAGCTAACAAGGGATCTACTTAATTCACTTTGAGTTGTTTTAATTTAACAGCAGACTTATTCCCAAGTTTATCTGGATTTATATAAAACAACACAGGAACCAAAACGTGGTTCTTTACCAGTGAAGATAGTCTGAGAGCTTCCTTACATTGCATAACAAGAGCTTACTTTCTCAACATGCTCCTATAGTGGGACATGGTCACGTAAGATTTCCAATATGAAGCAGTATGCTGTGATTTAATACAGTTATAATTTGAGATTGCACAGKCAGGAAAACCGAGTAAAGGTTACATTTCTAGCACTAACAGCCAAAATACATTACCAGAAGCATGCTATCACTAAGCCTCTATTAGTTCTAGAGAAAAGCTCGAAACTCCAGCTATGGAGACTGCCATATGACTTTTGCTCTGAAATAATTCATTAAGACAAAAAAAAAAAAAAAAAAAAAAAAAAAAAAAAAAAAGAAGAAGGAGAGCACGAAGCCGCGAGGAGAGCGAGAGAAAAGCTCGAAACTCCAGCTATGGAGACTGCCATATGACTTATGCTCTGAAAAAAAAAAAAAAAAAAAAAAAAAAAAAAAAAAAAAAAAAAAAGAAAAAGAAAAGGACAATGAAACGCGTGTGAGGTCTGTGGGAAGGCAGCCCCAGATGTTTACAACGGAGCGAGTATAGCGGCGCTGCAGCCCGGGACCGGCGGGGCGCAGCTCGGCACCGCCTCCGCCGCACGGCGGGCGGCAGCGCGGCCGCGCACCGGCTCCCAGCGCCGCCGGGCATCCCCGCTGCGGGGACAGCACCGAGCAAGACCCCGGCCCGCAGGAACCAGCGGCCAGCTCCGGCAGCGGGGAGCAGGGAGCGCGGAGCGGGCGGCTCGGGGAGCGCGGGGACGCGGCTGTGCGTGCGGGCAATCGATTAATTGTTCCAGTGCAGCGCTCTCGTCAAGGCACTCTAATGACAGGGGATAATGATTTTCAGATTCAGGAGACAATGTCCCCCACACACTCCGCGCCACTTCCTTGCAAATCTTTCTAATTTGCTCTCCTGCCAGGCGAAGAAACAAACGGTGCTCAGCGAGGCCATTTGCAAAACAAATGTAAGCGGAGAGATTCGCGGATGCGGGCCGGCGAGGAGCGGCGTCCCCGAGGAGCCGAGCTGAGCCCACCCAACCCTGCCCTGCGCCCCCTCCCCTCSCGGCGCCACCTCTCCCTTCCCTCCCCAGCCGGGGCTCGGGCGCTCGGGGCCGGGGAAGCCGCGCCCGGGGCTGCAGCAGCCGCTGCCCGGCGGCGGAGCCGTACTTACTGAAGGGGCAGTTCTCCTTCTTGGTGCCGCTGACCTTGCCGTTCTTCTCGATCTTGAGAAAGTACTTGTTGTAAGAGTAGAGCTTCCTCTTGCGCACGTCTCCTTGGAGGTGATTGTAGCTCCGCACGTGTCTCCCCGCACTGGAAGGAGAGGAGAAGGACGAGGGGAAGGAGGAGGATGATGAAGAAGAGGAGTTGGTGGCCTCCGGGGACAGCATGTCCTGGCCGAGGTCATGGCAGGTGACAGGCACAGAAGACACCAAGAAGAGCAGCAGCAAGCAGCAACAAGGCAGGTGGGAAAAGGCTGAGGCACCATTTGTCAGTATCCATTTGCACATTGTACTGAAACTCTGGGCGCTGGAAAATGTCTTATCAAATGAAACATACTGGAAGGGTAAAACCTGGTAAAAGGCAAGTGGAGAGACGGTGGTTGCTGCTTCTGGTTAGATTCCTCTGAGCTCTGATCTGGCCTGAAGTAAGTGCACCAACATCCATAACTCAGGGGACAAATCGCCTCAGAAGTTGCTGCCTTTTAATCCTTCGAGTCCTCCCTCAGAAAAAAGAGCTGTTGGTTGTTGGTTTGGTTTTTTTTTTTTTTTTTTTTTGGGGTGGGGGGGTTGCTGTGGTTAATCCTCTTTCCTTTTTCCCTTCCCCACCCCCCCCACATGCACACACACTCCCCAACCTGGTTTGAGACTTTCCAGTAGTTATTTTGTTCTCTTCCTCACTCCTTTCTTCACCATCTTAGATGCAGAAAGGTCTGAAAAATAGATGACAGCAAAGTCAATGACAACAACAAAAACAACAACTAAGATAATTAATAACCGGTGGAGAGGGGTGCCGGAATGGATTTTTCACACATACACCTTTACACACACACGCACTCACACTTTATGGCTTTGCACCTTCTTSTGATCCCCACCCTCTTGTCTTTTGTAAATCCCAAATCAGTTGCACAACTCGTCCTTTTCTCACTGACTACCCCAGAGGAAGAAGTTTCTTTGTTTTGCTTTGAATTCTCCAGAACAGTATTAAAAAAAAAAATCCCGAGAGAAAGAGAGAGGGAGAAATCCCAACTTGTCCCCCCGCCCTTCCTTTCCTCTCCTTTCCCTCCCCCTTTGGTTGTAAACAGGTTGGAAGCTGTAGCCTAAATGTCAGCGATTACAAGTCAGAGGTGGGATGTGCCTCTGGTGGTCAGCCCTTATTTGCAGGGGGTCAGGCAGCGGTGGGACATATGAAACCTTTTTGCAGCTGGAGCGAGCGGTGCCTGCTGCGGAGGCARCGCCGGGAGCTGCCCTCGCTTCCTCCCGGGCTGCGGCGGCCSCGGCAGCCGCCGCCTTCGGCTCGCTGCTAATTGCTCCTAAAGCGTCCTTCTCCTCGGAGCGCCGGCCACCAGCATGGCTTAGAGACTCATGCTTTACTAATTTCCCTGTCTTCCAGGCTGAACCAATCCCCTCCAGGGAGGCTTCCCTCCCCCTTCACTCTTCCCCCACTCTCCCTACAC